ACTTCTTAATTAAGGAAAATACTCCATGTATTACAGTACAAATACGATGAAAAATCGGTTCAATTTTTAAAAACAATCAGAATATGCAGCAGACTGGTTCCCGTCCCGTACGTAGTCTCCAGACGTCTTACAGACGTCCTCCGAACATTGGGACCAGTAGCGGGTAATGAATCCGGCAGAATCCTTTTCGTTACAGAAAACAACTTCACCATAAATTGTTTATCTAAGATTTAACGCAATAATCACTGATATGAAATAACTTGCCATAAAATGATTTATCGATGACAATAATTGAAAAATAAATTACCACACTGTGATCAACAGAGGCTTAGCAAGGATAGGTACTTATGTTTGATTGTCTCCGCGCTGCACACTTATTTCAAAATTATTAAGCATTGATATTGGCCTAACAAAAACTTAAATATTCAGCATCCAAATTGACGGGGCTAATCGCACGGACCGCAGATAGCTACTGGTCCTTACAAAAGCACCGGGACATGTCCAAACAGATAGTTACATTTTCGAAATTCATGGATCTGTACAGGTCGCTGTTCGTTTAAATGAGCCAGAGCTGTTTTTAGACAGCTCTGAAATGAGCTGGTTTGATAATGCTATCATTGCAATGTCTTTGGTCTAGCTACCTCAGATATACATTTTAGGTCTATTCTGAGCAGAAAAAGCAACCAGATTACAGAAAGCCACATTAGTAAGCAGGACATGTGTTGACATGGATACTACACAAACAGCGTCTAAACACGTCTTCCTTTTACACTGGCACGTTTTCACGCTCATTTCAACTTCAAGAAGCGCCTTACCAGCGCCGGGGAATTGGAGCTCTTCAGGACCCTCTATGTGTGAATAATTCACCCAAAACGAACAGGTTGATGGCCTCAGAAGACTTGCCACGAAACCGTAGGAAGGAAAAACGCATAATAAACGTCAGCAACTTAGCTACTTCCAATTTTTCTTGCCTCCCTAAATGAAAAGCCCTGGATCAGTTTCAAGGGATGTGACTAATTGAAATCATGATTACGTGCTCATAAAATAATCAGTTTTCAGATTACAATTATCAGCTTTCATTTCCGTGAAATTTATAAAAAAAACTACAGCCAAATGCTCTGAAATCAAAATCGAAAGCGTGCTATAGACCTGAGAAAATTGAAATACAAGCATAAATCCCTCGACAGTAGTCTTACTACGCTGTCGTGTATCAATTTAGGGCTAGAGATCTGTCTCTCTTTAATTTCATCTCTCCACTCCAATCATGTTGCAAACCCAACCCTCATTCATTTGACATAAAACAAACTGACACATCAACATCCGTGAGATTGTAATGTGGTTGCATCCTCCCATCCTGAATTGTTCATCATCAACGGCAGGTGGAAATCACAACGGATTGCACCAGGGTCTTTCAAAGAAATAAATCACTAAAAACAGAAGAAACTCTCCTGAATTTCGTTTCTGAACGCAAACTAATATTTCGTCATTGAGGGAGCCACGGCTGGTACGGCATTGCAATTAATTTCAGAAAGGGACATCTGTTACCGATACAAATGATATATTTTAGGCTTATCACACCGTTTTTTTTAGAAATGCGAACTGTCTTTAAATGTACAGGCCGAACATTCGTTTTTCTACGCTCTATAACGTCGTGTAAAACTTAACAGATCCATCGACGTGCAATTAAGTTTGTGGCTGGAATTCAAGCTTGTGACTAAAATTAAGTCCGACGGGTTGTGGGTATTATTTTGCCACGCTGCGAATCTGAAATATCAACCAAATCGGAAAAACGAGCAATAATGCAAAGCGCTTGCAAATGCAAAGCGCAAAAGTGTCCAAGAAAAGGCCAGACGTCACCAAAAAGTCAGTCACAATGTCTGGAATCGAGAGTAATAAACACTTGACTTCCACATGAAGCATAAAGAGTAACGGATTTCATTAAGTCTACTGACATTTGATATTAAAAACTCCAGATACCGCGCTGACTACTAAACCTAAATGGCACATTTTGACAATCACGTGATAACAGTCACGAGACAGTGGCATATTGATCGTCTGACATGGCAAACGGTGATTACAAAGTGCTTTTCGAAGACCGACATCGAGGTTAAATGAGCAAACATAAAAAAAAGTGCAAGACTGCATACTCCATAATATAGTAACTGAAAGAAGTGCAAAGACGTAAGCCATCCATGCACTGTTGTTCACATTTTAATTTAGTTCTTTGAAATCAGACCCAGATTCTGATTTTCAAATTTGCAGCAGGTACAAGTAGGCCCTAGTTCTTTCTACAGGGGCAGATCAGTGATTTACAGGGTGCAAATGTTGGTGTTTTTGAGAGTGAAGCAGAGAGGTTGGAAAAGTGCTGCGATTAAACATTTGGCATGTAATAAAAGTTTATCGCATTTTTTCTGTTTGATCAAGTTGAAGTATTTCTGTTAAAAAAGACAGCGCAGTCATTCGGAGACATATCTTTCATAGCTACCAGCACTAACGTTAAACGACCGACAAAGTTGTACCAGTAAGTCTGCAAAATCAACAGTGACGTACGATAGAATTCTTGTTCAAAGCACACAGTCGAGATAACCAACGATGACCAGTGAGTGCAATCATAGCTACTATGAGGTCATTTAGTTATTGCTCCAATGACTTTTCTGCAAAAAAAAAATCTGGATGACTCGAGGTGTGTTTAATTCAGGAGTCGTTTCAACAAACACCTTGCGCGATGAGTAACACTTTTCAAGTGTACGTTGATGTAAAGTACGTCATTAAAAGGCTTTTAAAATAAAGAAATATTAAGAAACTCCCCGAGTAATATGTGCCCAACATTGTTCGTTGTCTCTCTTTCCGTTTCCACAGGTTTCAAGAGACTACCGTGATTTTTTGAGGAACCCTTAATTGGTATCATTATGAGGAATGATTAATTTTTAAAAAAAATACCTACAATGTACATTAAGGGTAAATATTCAGTGGACCGTTTTTACAAAAGAAACCTCTTTTAAAACTGTAATACAAAAAAATCATCATAAAAAAGGGAAAAAATCAAAAGAAAGGAGAAGCAAGAGTATACTGATATGTCAACACGATCAGTTACATTCAACTCATGAAATTATAAATAGGTGGGGAAGATCATTCATTCTGTCCATGTAATTACAGGCCAGCAGATGATCCAAATCTACGCTTGTCGAAAGCGTTGAATCATTAATCACACAAAGCAGATGAGGGGCGTCAACTCAGTTTGGTCTTTGGTCTTAAGGATGTCATAACTGTAATTATTTCTACAGCCCGTGAAGCCTTCCATTGATGACCGGTACCAGTTTCTGTCAGGCAAAAACGTGTCATTTTTTTTACTTATTTATCTCGTCATTATTTAACGGTGCATTTACTTTTTATACGGATTGCATATAGAAATTTATGCAACTGCTGTTAATGATGTTCGTAATTATCACACCATCGTGCCCATATTAGTGTTTCTTATGCCACATTACTAATGTGTCATTATTAAGTCAATTTAACCTCAAGCCAACATCAAAATGATTCTATAGGCCCCTACTGCGTTTAGTGTTCCTTTGGAAACTTGTTTACTGCTATTCTATCCACAATAAATGTTTTTTTAATCCTACAATACTTCCTCCAAACCAAAGAATTTCCAGTGAATACGTTCTGTCATTTCCACTCGTCTGTGGTGCTCGAGCATCTTATTCTAGTTGAGGACGCAATAAATTCTTTGATTTTTCTAAAAAATATTATAATGGTTATCCTACCTGATGATGGAACGTTTTGCTCGATTTTTTAAAATCAAAAATGATTCTGAAAAACTATGTAGGTGACTTCTATTGAGAAATTCGACATCAATACTGAAGCACATTTTATTAACCATGAGCGTCACATACATTAAAACTCAAAAATTGCTCTAAGAACTACTCGTCAGACCTACGTGATGTCGAAGCATTGTTCGAAGACACCTGTGAATTACGATGCTGCTGCAAAATGTATTTCGTAACGTTCGGTTTGCAAACCCTTTCGGCTGAAACGTTACATTTGAAAAGAAATAAAAACCGACTCTAATTCAGAACTAATACGCATGACGAAATCACATGAAATAAAATGTATACCCCTGCATCGTTGCTGAAAGGTGTAACAGCTACCGATAGGCCCTTATCTGCTACAAAGAATAAAAGAAAATCACCTTTTAGTGTTTGTCCAATGACATCAAAAAGACCAAGGCTTTACCTTTAATGCCATGTGCTTATAATCCTGTGCACGATATTGCAAGTGGGGATGTACCTACGTTGTGGTATTACGCTCAATTATAATCACACACACTCCTGACGGCCATAAAGGCCTGATTAGACAACATGTACGGCCATCCATGCAGTGCTGGCCGGGTTGTATCTTACCTGTGGTAGAGAGTAAAATGGAGCAGCGGATATGCATTATCACAGTGCACAATCTATTCATTCCTTAATTGGCAAGTGCTGTTTTGCTGCTGTCGGCTATCAATATCTAACAGTTCATTAGGTCGGAGCTAACCATAGGAGGCAGGGAGCAATCTCGATGTACGTACATTAATCACGGGTCAAATGTCAACTGTAAACCTAGTCTCCTGTCGTGGAGTCTTTCGATATTAACTGGTGCAGAACACGTGATTTAGATTCAATATTGCTCTGGCCGAGCCACAAAGGGGCGTGACTGAAGCAAAAACATGAACTTTTTCATTAAGAAATATGCTCACACATGTGCTGCATCAATTCCCTTGATTTCCTTGGCCCTTCCCTTGAACACGACTGTAGAAAATGGCAAATGCCTAAGAGTAAGAGACACTGACAAACCAACTAAAAACCTGTTAGACTAAGTTTTCCCTTTTACTTCTACGTTGCAGTATCCCCAAGAGTGATGATTCCAAAATCAAGGCAAACATTTCCAGACAAGACAAGGCCTTAGATTTTTGTTCTTAATGTAACTGTAGGCCTATGACCAATCTCTGTGTCGGTACTCACCTTTATGTGACTTGTAGATACGCTCTCTTACCCACAGCAGCGATCCGCTGCCAAGCGTCGAGATGTAATTGATCCAACATGGCTCCAGCGAGAATCAAGAACCTAAATATCTATAATCAATCTATAATGCCGTGATATTCTACGACATCAAGTCAGTGCACAAGTTCAACCAGGGTCCTCATATTCCTGATGAGAGCCAGTGCGGTCGTAATGGGAATGCAGCTAAAATGGTGGACACACGTTGACGTCATGCATGGGCTAGCTTACGCGCGTTTGCGGCCAAGCCTGAGCAACGTAACAGGATTCAGTTATGCAAATTTGCGGAATGAAATGGTACGCGTGGTCCTTTGTACTTGATCACCGGGTGCGGTAAATGTTCAACTTTTTTTTTTTAAGTAGGGCTAGTTTGGAGGCAGAGAGGTCTGGAGAGGTTAAACAGTCTAGCAGGAACCTTGCAAAATATCTGAACCAAGTTCAGGTTATAGTTAACATTAAAAATGGGTCATTACGCGTAAAAGTAATGATCAAATCACCTTATAATAGCCTACCTATTTAGATGTAAAAGGCATTTTAATTTTTTGGAATTTTAATCTCAATTTGCACTGAAGGACGCATTTATTTCTCTCGACAGATCAACAAAGAACATTTGCTCGAAACAGTAGTTTTGCAGTTAACGTGGCTAAAAATTCTTAGCAATACATGCATAGTATGAAGAAAAAGATGAATTTTAATTTGAAAATTGATATTGGCAAAGTAGTGACTTCATGTATTAAATGAACCAGAATTGAATTGCCCAATAACGTTACTGAGTGATTATTAAACCAACGCCATGAAAATGCATCGGTTTGACAAAAACAAATTGGCAGAAATTACTGATACTGTATTATCTAATCGTATCCATAGAGAGTTCTGATTTTGTAGTATACACGCAGATCTCTTGAAATTGCATTCAACGCTCCGTGTACGGTAACCCACCTTAAAACAAACACTTCTTTGCGTCGTCACCTGACTTGATCACAGAGTGAAAGGTTTATTTAGCGAATCTGAAAATTACAAGTGGCATGAGACTTGGGAACCCAGGCAGCTGTGCTGACTAAACACCTAGCAACAGGAATATGATCGGTGCTACATCTTGGTAGTTTCTGGCAACGTCAGTAACTACATGTATATTTCTTAAAATATCTTCACTGGTTTGGAAAAAAGTATATCCCATGTCATTCACTAGTTTGCTTATCAGAGATTCATAATCAAACAAACTGAAATTGTTCCTGTTTTGTATCAGCCAGAACATAAAATGCAAAGTGAATCTTCAATAACAGAAGCAGAAATGCAGCATTATTTCACTCTGGGAATATCATTATGCAAAATGCTCACTTCACTATGCAAAAACTGTTCTGCTCCTATCCAGCCTGGATTTCACTAAAAGCTATGTTCATATACTTCAAAGATCAAAATGAAACCTTACACGGGAGAGCTACCGTTTAAAGTGGTCTTTTTTTCCTATCTAGTGGGTGGAATTAATTATTCCCATAAATCATAATACATTACAGAGTGGGCAGATAAAATGAAGTAGCGCAGCGTGGGATGAAAACAGGCCTGAAACGAAAACTTTGTCTTAATATTAAACTAGAATAGCTGAGTGCATTAACCTGTTTAAATAAGGCTGTAAAGAGATTTTTTCCACATATCTTGGAAAAAAAACATCTCGTTTCTGGAAACAAAGGAAGCGATGATGCAGTTACTTTCCATTACACTGACTATTCTCTCTAGATTCCTGGAATATAATTTCGCCTGAGAGCACCCGGCGTGTTACAACTGTGAATCGCTAGAATTATCAGGGGTGGATGTCTTCTCTCGACTCGCTGGGACGATTTCGAATTAATTGAAGCGGACATTTTGCAGAGTGGCTGTCTTCCGCGCGTCGCAGCGGATTTAGATGTTAGATTTCCCCGGACGACAGAGAAGACCACCTCTGTGGTCTGCTCGGCTGCAGGAATTCTTGTCGCAGTTTTTCCATTGGTTGCACTCATATCCACAGGAGATATTAAGGATTGGGAATTCAAACATGACTTGTTTACCAGAAAGAAACTCTGTAAATAGAAACCTTTCAGAAGAGCGTGATTGCCAAACATCGGTGTCATCGCTGAAGTAGTACAGGAGGGGATCAACACATTTTATTTTTCCGACGGAACAGCGCAGCGTCTAATGAGTAGACATTAATGAGAGAAAAGTATGAAGTTAGTCATCTGTTCTTACTTATCCCATAGGATGCATGTATGGAGCTCACAGGTCAGTGTGAAAGGCACGCACTGGTAACAATGTTCGACACGTCACATCGGATTCAACATTGCTCACCGTAGTGCAAATTTTCAGGCAAACCATTATGCAATCGTATACAGGGCAGGCCCATTGACGTACCCTCGGTGCGCTGTGCCACACATTACCACACCCAGACACCATATCTTAAAATACATGTCAAGTTACAAATTCAGCGGCATGATCAAAATCAAACTGACCAGTCAATCCTGGGCATACTTTCAACCGTTGAATTTCAAACTGTTCCATAGGGGAACCGCAAGAGAATGCAAATCATTATGAATTCAACACCTTTGTGGGATTATTTCCCGGTGGATTCGATGGAAACGGATCACTGTAGATTCCATAAGCCTACGGGGACACCGTGCAATCGCAAAAGCTTGATGTGCAGGCCATACTCCGTACGGGCAACATACGTGCGGGCTAGGGTAGTTCGTACGGAGCGAAGTATACGAGTGTGCGCTAGGACAGCACCTAAGGATAGAAGTATAGCCTATGCCCAGCCAATTTCCCATCGAAAGTCACACCATCGGCAGTACCGTCCCCCCCCCCTCTCTCCGTCATCGTTGTGCAGGTACCTGCGCTAGGGGTTTAGTATTGACCAGGAACAAACGCTTCATAGGTCAAACCTTACTAGCTCTATTTGCCAAGGTTTTGCTAGAAGGTAAAACCTGATCCAAAAAACGGTTCGGTCCAAAAAAAGTGTTTGAACTTGAAACAAGCATGCAAGTGCTCATAAAAAGGCCAAAATCCAGACTGACATGATTCAGCCCTCTGGCTAATTCCACTCGCTGACAGGATGAAATTCGTCATTTTCATTGACCATTTTTACTAGCATATTATACTTACTAGAATATCTGATACATCAACAACTCCATTATCAGCAAATTTATTCAATTCAGCACAAATTCTGATGGCATGGGTATAGATCAAATATAAGGATGATCCGAGGAGACCATAAGCATGACCACGTGGGAAGTAAACAACTTCACTCCAGACGTTCTTAGCAAACCATGCCTGCAAGCAACACTCCATTTTTTGCCATGGTATAGCCTCGCACACTCCCAGCCCGCCCTCGTCCCATGACATGACAACCTGGGCCCATCTCTCCGGAGTTGGTGACGCTTAGATACTGATAATCACAAATGTGACTATATATCTATGAAATGTGTCTCCATTTAAGTAGTTTTTCATCGGCAGTAGCAGGAAAATAAATATACGCAAATCGTAAGTTTGGTAAATGTATATCCCACCATTTGACATCCTGGCGAATATAGGCGTTATATTTCATACTAGCTTTGTATAAGATTAGGACTCTGTCTACAACTTCAATTCCGTTTCAGGGTTTGGGTCCCAAATTTATACGTTTAGCACAGATCAGCTGGGAATAACTGACACGCCATAGGCCTAAGCATGACATTCTTAAACGTAACTGAGGGTAAGTAGGTGCATTTTCTATCTGGTGATAAACGTCACTTTGCTAACAGCTCCATCAATTGTGTCCCAATACACATATCTCCCAAATCCAGTGACTTCTCAAACAATGATATATGAATCACTTGTGTATTAAATACTTCATAATCTTAAGGTATGGCGCGAGAATACCATTAAGTCACAATGTACACACATTAAGGTAGGCTTGTCCAATAACAGCAATACGATTTTGCCGACTTACGATTGATACAGGGCGTCACCAAGCAATTTAAAGCAAACCATCCGTTTCGTTGGAAAACGAGGTTAACGTTTGACAAAATGTATTCTTTTTGCTTGAGAACCCACAATTTCCTATTTTATCTTTTTGGTCACAAATATTTACTTGACCGTGCAAGTACATTATATTTTAAAGACTCGGCATGTTTACAACGAAGAATGATTATTATTTGCCGGGCAATATTTGCATGATGTCAACCTTGAAATTAAAAGCCAACTCTTGATTTAAAACGCTTGGTGGCGCTCTGATTGAGAACCCTCCTACTCATCAATAAGCCACATTTACTTAGACCAGTTTTGACGTATACATTTTCAACAATTATTCTTAATCACGTTTTAAGGATAGATCAGTTTAAAATAACTTACTCTGTTTATCTAATGTTAGAAATATAACAAAACATTTACGTAAAAAGTCAAAAGTACAGTTTCAGAAAGTAAATGACCTCGGGCAAAGCTATAAAAATCAAGTGGAAAAGGTTATCCAAATGAAAGAGATTTAATATAAATAAAAACACAAATACTGCTCTTTTTTCTGGTGGAAGCATTGACTGTATTTGTATTGCACTTCATGATTTGAACCCAAATACTTCCCTTTTTGGTTACAAAAAGGAAATTACACTTCCCCAGAGTTTCACGTTTGAATCTCAAAAGCAAAACTCTTGAAACTTCCACGTTTTCTACCTCAAAGGTAAAGCAAAAAACTCAATTTTTTAAAAGTGAGTAAACAGTTTCCTCTTCTCGTTACAGTGTATGTACTTCATCGTCATCACTAGTTTCTATTGGATGGACGTTTCTGTTGATTTCAAATGCCATTTTTTCTTAGTACATCAACATCGCATGGCATCAGGGGAAAGCAATCGCGGGGATGTAGGGGGGGTGCAGCACCCCCCATAAGTAATTCCAGTCGGCAAATTCAACTTTGGTCAAAATATGAATCCAAAATTAGTACATAAACGGTGGACACTGGCCGTCAGCATTTCCCCTGAAGCAAGAAATGTAGCGTACCACATACTTCCTGTGCTTCGTGAATTTTACACCTCAAGAAAATGGCAAACAAGTTACAAGTCGGCAAATTGACTCTGGCACACCCCCCCCCCCACAAAAATGCTTTCGCTACACCCCTGAATGGTTGGCATAAAAGTATCTACTCTTGTTCAATAGCATTGTACAATTCCGCGTGCTTTAAAGCTTACACATATTTCAAAATGACAGTAAATACTTCACAATCACAGTACAGGACAAGATTGTTACGATATTGTGAACAATTATATTCTATCGGATGCTTCTAAGACAGGGTCTTTAAAACACAAAACCTTCTTAATCTCATTGGATTGTTCTCCAAGCAATGTTCTCCGTTCCTAATTCAGATATGAAGCAGCAGGTTCTGATAATCATGAAAACACAAGAAAAATCTTCTCCCCAAACTTTTCCAATAACCTGCTTCTCTTCCTAATTAATTGGTGTTTTAAACAGACTCTGCAAGCATGCTGAGATACTGAGCCCCTTCATCGCATTATTCTGGTACCAGCCATCTCCTGAGTTTATTCCCACAGAGTTAAACAATATCAAAAGCTCCACATTTGAATTTGTCCCAGTAAAATGTACAGAATGCCAAGAATAAGTTGTAAGGCCTGTATTGAAGGTAATACTTACTTCTTAACCACAGCTATAGGTGAATGATTTCGGCCCAAGAAAACTCATAAATCTGGGCAGTCGTTTTGCAACAATGTAATTTCATATTCAATTGTAACGCAAAACAAAATTCACTCTCGGAGATTAGAAACTAATCTTTATTTTGCCCAGCCCATTAATTCTAAAATTGACTTTACCATATACTGCTTCCAACACGACCTCTCATCAGACTATCACTACGTTGCCATGACGATTGAATGAGTGCCGAGCACTCACAGCATCTCTTCTGTAGACGGTCATCATCAATGGATGTTACAGGTAAATCAACCTGCAATGATAATGCATAAGAAAATGAGAATACAGAAATAACATTGGGTTTGATGGAGCATTTCTCAGACTTGATGAATCCCCTGACCATATTGACAAAGTGAGCACTTTTCTTCTATAACCTGGGTCTAAATTCCATCCAATCTATCTCTCATATTTCAGTTTTGGTTTCTTCCTAAGTTTGTTTTCACCCAAAATGTTGAAAAGAGTTTTTCAGAGAGCTCATTTCAATTATCTATTTCTTGGTTTCTTTTAAGAACAGTGAGGGTCTTGTTGGCAATATTTGTAACATATTTAAAATTGTATGTTTTTAGCCTTTGGTAAAGTTTTAGTTAAGATGCAGATTTCAGTCCCTCTGTAATTTTCAAGCTGAGAGCTAGAAGACTGTTCAATTTGTAGTAGAAATCCTGAATTTAATAGTCAGACATGAATATGGTTTAAAAAACTGAACAATCTCTTGAGGCAGAAAATCACTTGTCAGAAAATCAAAGACATTGGTAAAGTGTAAATATGCAACAATTACCACATCAACTCTGATCAGTGCAATACTTGAAAACTATGATATTGTAACTACCAAGATTAACAAGATATAGACACTGGATGGCCACATGAATAGCCGGCTACCGACTGACCTGAAGTTGTTCCTTCCAAACGCTGCTCAACGTTGATTCAAACTTTGCCTTCTCTTTGACACTGTTGAAGTAAAACACCCAGGGATTCTGGGCACACTCCGATTGAAACTCCTGCCAAATTGTTTTTACAAAAGAACAAATTAATTCTCCTACATAAGAAAAACAATTCAAATTAATTCTCCTAAATAAGAAAAACAATTCAAAAATCAACAACGTTGGCATATCTACCCAAGAAACTTAATACATGTATGAATACTTCAATGATTCCACTCACAGTAATGATAAATGTCTCGTCCTGTGGATCGTGACTCAATCCAGAGATATCTGTGATATCAACACCGGCCAAGAGACGATAGAAGTTAGTCTGACAATCTTCATGGCATATCAGGAGTTTGTGAGAAGTGATGACTGAACAGCATGGCTGACAGGGGGCTGGACCACGAGTTGGACTAGTAGCTGCCACTTGCTGTATTCAAATAACCAAATTATCAAGATAATCAGGATGCAAAACTCATTAGTTGAACTACAAAGTGACGTATCTCAAACACAAAGCCTCACAGACGCACAATACATACATGGCACAGGTGCATCCCTTATGGTAAGCAATCACCGAGATAGATCACTTTGTGATAAAAACAAAAAATTAAAACTACCAACAGTTTGAACAAAGGTTTGTAAATTAAAGAGAGTGCAAACGTGACAAGTCTAGTTAAACAATTCCCCTTATAGTCCTACAACTCATGACAAAGATGTTTGCTCTCCCTTAATACATGTAGAGGGTTTCACAGAGGATTAGCATATATTTCAGGTGGCGTTAGAAATTGCCAGTCCACTCCCAGCAAAATGTATGAAATTGATGCCCCCTTGTGCTATCCTGAGACCATGTTTTCCACTGTTTTCAATACTTGGTACTATCCGTGGCCATGTTTTCCACTGTTTTCAATACTTAATGCTATCCGTGGCCATGTTTTCCACTGTTCTCAATACTTGATACTATCCGTGGCCATGTTTTCCACTGTTTTCAATACTTAATGCTATCCGTGGCCATGTTTTCCACTGTTCTCAATACTTAATGCTATCCGTGGCCACGTTTTCCACTGTTCTCAATACTTGGTACTATCCGTGGCCATGTTTTCCACTGTTCTCAATACTTGGTACTATCCGTGGCCATGTTTTCCACTGTTCTCAATACTTAATGCTATCCGTGGCCATGTTTTCCACTGTTCTCAATACTTAATGCTATCCGTGGCCATGTTTTCCACTGTTCTCAATACTTGGTACTATCCGTGGCCATGTTTTCCACTGTTCTCAATATACTTAATGCTATCCGTGGCCATGTTTTCCACTGTTCTCAATACTTGGTACTATCCGTGGCCATGTTTTCCACTGTTCTCAATACTTGGGATGAAATGTAAGGATTTATTCTCCAGTGTTAAAGATTTGTGTAATAAATGGGGTTTTGTTCCGAAACAATTTTGCCTATCATCAGAACAGGTGGACAGGGACTTGGATAAAACACTGCCTCCATGTCCAAACTTACTGATTGCGCAACGACCTGGCATATTGCCTGCAGCCAATCAGAAACCCGCTCCTCTGTGTCACATGCCAACTCCAGCGATGCTCCATCGGACAAAATCAGCTCAAAACTGTGAGGGCGCTCTCCATTTCTCACCCGCCGGCAGCCACCAAAATAAGGAGTTCTGTTGGTAACAAAGGGAAGCGTAACTAAAAATTGCACAGAATGGGTATCCTTCTCATTAACTGCATGCTGATTACTTCAGGTTTTGTAACCGTTTGGTTGTATCTACAAAGCGCCCTCAATGAACTCTGCAAAAAGAGGACAGAGCTCCAATGTCTTTGTCACACCTTAGCTGCACGCTGAGATCTGGCTGCCTGTCCTTCTGCTGAATGAACCTAGAGAACATCTCATTCCTCAGGACAAACCAAGCCTTCTTCCAGGAGCTACCCATGAGGAAGCTACCGGCAACCCTGTAGTGGAGGTAACCTTTCCTGGTGACCTGGGGTTCATACAGCTGGAGGTCAGGGGTCATGGAGAGGTCAGTCAAGTCTTCCCAGTGGATGAGGGAATACAGGTGTAATTTGATGTTATGCATCTGAAAGAAAGAGCTCAAGATATTCAGGACCCAACATGACGAACTTGCTACATAAGTGGTAGAAACCAGCCACAACAGACAAATATCTCTGGATATTTCAAGTTTAACTATCTCAAAGCTGTCAGTGTGAATCTTAAACAACTTGTTGGTCACAGGAGGTTTGAAAAATGGGACCGGCAGACTAAGTTGGTTCAAGTAACAGCTGGTTTTTAAATTTTCAACACAATCATTTGTTCAGACGTTTGTTCTGATATCCTACTTCAGTCTTGCTTTCCTGTGCAGCCCATTTTCGGAGTGTAATTATCTGTGCTGTAGCATCGGTCAGAATGCTGATTGGTTCCTTGGTTTGTTGGCTTTCTTCAGTGACATGTCTCAATGAGGACAGGAAGAACCTGCAAAGACAACAGACAGACTTTGTGACATTTCAGAGTTTGACAATCAACATACCTCTTGCAAAGCACCTCTTGAACTGCATAATTTAGTCGGACTTGATTGCTTACAGAATTGGTTTGACTCTGACTGAAATCACACTGTGCTTTAAAACCCACTTATCCTTGAAATTGAAACAACGCATAAGACCGAGACAGACATGACATCTGCTCCTTGTCACATCCCTTTTCCTTGTAAGATGTAAAATAAATGAATAAACTCTTGAAAACAACATCAAACTTGTCTTTCCAAATTCCCAGGTCATGTACAAAAGTAATTGTAACTGGAGGAGTCAGGGCAGTTAAGTTCAACTGAAGAAAATGAATCACAAGCACTAGAATAATTAATAGTCACTCAATTTAAATTGTCAGAGCGGTTTCAAACTGACCTGGTGAGTACTTCATCTCCTGTCGTCAGCCAGTACTGTCTTCTCCTATTGGTGCAGACAATCTGAACGGTCTGGTAGTTCAAACCCACCTGTGGGAATAATGGATTACATGCTCTTTCAAGAACATGGAGCAGCTACATTCTAGAATGTCTTCATTTGATTCTCTGAACCTCTGTCTATCCCAAAACATAAACAAAATATGATGAAGAAAGGATGTAAATGTAACATTCTGAGGAAGAAATAATGCACCAGTTACAAAGGTTGCGGTATCAACAATTTGATCTATTTAGATTAATGCAAGACATTGAAAACAAGATCTTTGAGAGGTCACCATCGGGAGATGAGACTAGACTTACCGAGATGTAATCCAGGCTGGTGTAAGGTAACCTCTGCTGAGTTGAGTAGTGACCTTGTTTGTCACCCTGTCTCAGAATGTATAACATGTGATCCGTGAGGAGGATAAATGCCGGCTGTAAGTCACCCTCCATGTGACCAGTGCTCATACGAATCAGCTGGAAATACAAGACAAAATATGAGGGATAAATAAGTGGGAGGATAACTGAACTGACCGTGTACAGATGGGGGGGGATGCTGGTTGATAGATCTGAGAAGTGAAACTACAATGTACATGTACAAGATGAGAGTTTGAGTTGGTGGTGCAAAACTTGGGATAACTCTGCAATAATGCATGTTTGGTTATTACAAGTTCTTTTTTTCCCAGAACCCAACAGTTTGAACTGTGTGTCCTGGAGAAAAATGATTCATATCAATATGCCCTTCCTTTATCCAAGCAAGAATGCATACTTTGCCATTGCACGAATCAGATTGTGTAGTTGGTTATGCAAATAAAGTGTGACATTTTTGTGTCCCTGTTACATCTGACCTTTATTATTTGACAAGGAAATATCGCCGGAATTGATTTCAAACTATAACTATTTGTTTGATAGGTAATTTGCATTAATTCATCACTCTTGGAAATAAGAAAATGTATTCTGAACTTGTAAAATCGTGTCAGATGTGGCAGGGGCATGAAAAAAAAATGGACCCTTAATTTCTGGGATTACCCAAGTACTTCTTACTGTGCATGTAAACATTGCAGAAATGATTTCTGGCATACTGGTCTGAGGTGTCCTATAACAGGATAATTGTCCAGAATATAAGATAATATAGATAATAAGATGATAATAAGAATAATAAGATAATTGTCCAGAAAGAACTCTGTCCAGTAGTTTAACCCTAACCTTCCCCAACCACACCAAATTTAACAGTAGTAAAGTGTTTAATTCTGTAGGGATAGGTCTGGTAGGCCCATAACAGCTGGCTTTTGCATTGGGTTTGGCACACCTCAGAAAAACAAAGTCCAACAGCCTCTTAACTTTGTGTGAATGGGGAAGGTTAGGGCCAGCAACCCTTCGGGGGGTTAGGGTTAAGGCGCTGTTCCTCTGCAAGACATTCTGTGTACCTTTTTAAACTGTTCTTGCTCCTTCTTGAAAATTTCAAGCATCAGGTACAGCTTAAGGTTGTTATCCACACTACAACAGATAAATAAGTATTAGTCTGTTAAGAAAGTCTCCAAATGTTTAACAAAAAGAGATCTCCAAGCTGGAAATACTTTACTTTGCAATGCTGACATGTTTGGCCACTACATACATAATAAGAAATTTCTTAGAATAGAAAATTAAAGAGTAGTTCAAAGACATATTTTTCCCTCTCTAGTGTTACACTGAATGAGTGTATTCCTATCCTGCAGCTAATTGACTAATAACCACCCATGGGAAATACATTTTGTGATTTGTCATCCGTAAACACTCACGCAATTTCTGCTTCATGACATTCACTTCCAGCATCCACCTCTGCCATCTTAGATGCGATTTCCTTGACACCATCACTCATGCTCTCATCCCCCTCAATGGATTCCTTGAAGGAGGAGCCTGCATCCGACGATGACCTCATGGCTTTTGCATCTTCCTCACTCGGATTGGCTGAGATGTCTGAGGCAGAGTAGGAGGAGGTGCTTGGGGATGGAGGCAGAGGGTCATCTAGACTGAAGGATGTTGAGGAAGGAGATTGGGTGAAGAGGCTAGCAAAACTTGGCACTGCTTCTGATGGCACGGTAGATAAGGAGCTAGTAAACTCATCCGATTGGCTCTGGTTCTCTTGATGATCAGTCTTCGGGTTGTAGCTAGAGATGACTTGGGTCAACAAAGTATCTGCTGGGATTGCTTCTTGCGACGGTGGAGTGCTGAGAGTCATCATCACCGTTTCATCAAAGTTGAGACTGGCTCTAGATGGAGGGGCCAAGTTGGGCTTTACATCTGGTTGTATAATTTCAGGTTGGTGCTTGGCAAGAACAGAATTGGTTGGTAATGCTGAGTCGCTGTCAAGTGACTTAGGCTCAAAATCAGAGTCCACTCTCACGTCAGCTGTTTTCTCATCTTGAACAAGTTTTTGAAGACCCATTCCACCATCAGTCTCATCAGAATTTTCAGGTTTGACATCAAATGTGATGCTGCTTAAACTATCTGCATCTGCTCTGCCGAGATTGGCAGACTCATTCAACGATCCACGGTCAGAGAAACTCTGCAATGATGAGTAAGAACTACTTTTGGATATTGAGTCGCCAATCTGGGTATCCCATCTCGGACTTGGTGTCCCGATTTCTTCGCAGGTTGAGCTCAGTGTTCCAGAGCTTCCCTGTCTTTTCAGCTTATCTCCGTCCAGTGATGTCCTGTCACCCTTCCTCTTCTTGTGTCCCTTTTTGCTTTTCTTGGTTTTCACACGAATGACTTCAAGGTCGCCATCTTCAAACCCTTCTTCCACTGATTTCAGTGAAGCATCAGAACTAAGGGATCTCTCGGTACGAGATGGAATACCAAGTGTCACAGGTCTTGTTGGTTTCCCTTCAATAATCTTCCCAGCACTGAAGGATCGGTTGATAAACTTGCTTCCTTGTGCCTGCCTTGTTTCGTTACCATTTTGAGGTGGGGTCTCAACTAGTGGTGGAACGTTCTCATCTATTTCAGAATAATGCTGGGGAAATGAATGCTGTTTTTCAATTGTCGATTTGTTCTTGATGGCAATATCTGGAATGCTGATTCCAGATTGTGGCGATTCATCCATTGGTGAGAATGGGTCAGGACTAGTGATGGAGGAAACACCGTCGATGTCAGGTAAGGTGGCCGGGGTACTCGGAGTTGTTGGTACACTGTCATTGGATGGAGTTGTGACATCATCTTCAGGTTCAGAAATGGAGGCACAGCGAGGAATGTAGCTGACCAAATCAAAATAGGCTATGTTCTGAAAAGGAAAATCATTCAGCTATCAAAAGACATCAAATTAAAAACCATCCCTCACTACTTTTAACAGGTAGTCCCAAAAGATAAATAAGACATTCACGATAAGCTGAAGTTGAAACAAGGGCAATTACAAACTCAGAGTTTTACTCACTATTTCGAGGTCAAAGGTCACAAAGTCTAGCCCAGCTATAAGGGTCTGGAGCACCATGACTCTTTGTTTATCTCTCAGCATCCCTGTCCTATGTAAACACAACAACAACAATAAACAAATACAGGAAATCTATGTTACTGCTTCAATGAATTCAATATTGGGGAAACTTGTCAATTACAAGACTGGGCATAACTGAATGACTTTTATATGCAAATTTTATGCATTAAGAGCTGTGAATGGGCAAGGACACTAAGGCGAATGAGTGGTTTATTGTTGTCAGCTGATAACAGATTAATATTAACACCCCCTGATTGGTCACAATGTTATACATAATTCATTGCCAACTTTGCATGCACATCACTTAATGCATTGGATTGGGTTCTACGATCCCCACAGTCTTAGTTGTTTGACACAGCACACGTGACCATCCCCAGAACAGGGTTACCCCAAATAATAATGGAAAGCACCCATACATGTACGTATCTAATAGATCTTCCATTCGATGGACTATGATTTCTCATCCATCTTCCAAATTGTTACAACTTGAGTCCTTGCTGCACTAGTGTCTAGAGTTGTAAGTAAAGTAGATGACGTTATTCAATAACAAGGGCTATGCCAATTAAGATCATTTTGAAATTCAGGATACTCACTCCACATAGTATTTTCTCACAGTTGCTGGATTTTCTTGAAAACACCTGAGATAACTCTCCAGTGATGTGTCGTTCAATGATTTGTACAGCCATGCCCGACCTAAACAAAAACAAAGACACATTACACAAATAAATTTAGCACTACCCGAAGAATGTCTTCTCAAATTCAGCACCAATTTTTTTTAATGCTTTTGAGGACTTGGAGATTACTTCAAGTCTTTCTGACTTACTTCTGCCCAGGTCTGTGGTCAGTCGGTCCAGCTTGGAAATCTCATCGATGATACCTCGATGAGCGAAGAGCTTCGCAACACCCCAGTAGCCTCGGGTTACATTTTTCAAACTACACAACAAGCAATAAACAGAGAACATTATACACGTAATCACCAACTGAAAAGAATGTGACTTCACTTCCTATAGTTTTAAGAGGTGTAAACTAAATGTCCCCTCATACTTGGAATTACAGAGAACATGAGTATGCAATCGATGCCGTAGACACACAGTTGAAATCAGTCAATTTTGTGCCCATTTACAGTGCTTGACATTATTTGTTGTGCTGTAATAAAACTCATGTTTGCATTCACTTTTGCACCAAATAAAAAACCGACCTTAACTCAACTTATCTACCTGTACCTGTAAATACACCACTGTGCAATAGTGCACAGCAAAGACCGAACCACTGTGCAATAGTGCACAGCAAAGACTGGACCACTGTGCAATAGTGCACAGCAAAGACCGAACCACTGTGCAATAGTGCACAGCAAAGACCGGACCACTGTGCAATAGTGCACAGCAAAGACCGGACCACTGTGCAATAGTGCACAGCAAAGACTGGACCACTGTGCAATAGTGCACAGAGAGGACTGGACCACTGTGCAATAGTGCACAGCAAAGACTGGACCACTGTGCAATAGTGCACAGCAAAGACTGGACCACTGTGCAATAGTGCACAGCAAAGACCGAACCACTGTGCAATAGTGCACAGCAAAGACTGGACCACTGTGCAATAGTGCACAGAGAGGACTGGACCACTGTGCAATAGTGCACAGCAAAGACCGGACCACTGTGCAATAGTGCACAGCAAAGACTGGACCACTGAGCAATAATGAACAGCAAAGACTGGTTTCCGGGAAAGATACATTTTATTTGCCATTTTTCATCTTACCCATGCAAGAATGCATGGTCAAGTCTCTCCACAAGTTTCTGTAGGGGTCTGTCATCATTTGTGACTGTCACAACTTCACCATCAGCGCTGCAACTGAAGTCATGAACCTTTCCAACGAAGAAAATAAAACAGTGAATGAAAATTTGTATTTAAGGGTGAAAATTATTCTCTTTTACAAATGCATTTTTCTAGTGTTTTCAAAATGAGTTCACTCTGCACAAAATCCATAGCTCTGCATGAAATCCATAGCTTAACTTCCCTTTAAAGCAGTTTTCGGCACAATTGCAGAATACCCGGCCACCTGTCTCTCCCACATCGTAGCCAACTACGATGTCTCGCTTGACAACTCACATACAAAATACACACAGGGCTTCACCTACATGTACATACATGTAATAGGCCAGAAAATGCCGTGTTAGAATTGCCCATGTTCGAATATCCCGTTTTTGAATGGGCGGCTAAACTCATCAAATAGCTGATTACACTTGCTCCTGTAATCATGGCTTTGGAGGATGGTTTTTACATAGAGGAAGGACACAGAAGGAGTTGCAACTCAGGCACTTCAAAGTGTTTAATGAAGGTTGCCGCCGAGACAGACAAATAATAGAAAACATTTCCAAAATGCATGAATACTGCCTGCATCTTAGCTGGACAAGCACGGCCAGCAATATCCGAGCAATACTTGTATTTTTTTGCTTGTAATTAAATACAAATTATCACTGTGACAAGGAAATAGAGAGAGAAAATTCCTGATATTAGACCTACTTTTGCCATCGTAAATAAACTTTTTAAAATTTTGATACGCTTTTCCATTATCCATGTAAAGCTTGTAATTTTATTCTCCTTCGTTCAATACATCAGTGTTCAAAGACTTGATACAAATTTGGCTAAGACTGGCCGACAAAATGTTCACTACTGCTTGAAAGCTTAGTTCATTAGGAACAAAATGTACTATTTAATCACAGGGAGTGGTCGTGAAATCTCATAAAATATGCTTTTGTACAAATGCCATCAGAAAAATGATTCAAACAAAACACAATATCTTGTAAACAAGTGGGCTATTTACTCCCAAAATAACTCCAGAAGAAACAGCTCAAAGATGACTGCACATATAGGGCATACAGCATAATGCAAGCAACTGTGGAAGCATTAAATTGGATGTTGTCATAAGATCATACACAGAACCAACAAAGGTAAGAATATTTAATTTCCTATACCTCAGTACACGAAGTTTTAAGGATGCAGATTACCATCGACAAATTGCGGCGGCGATCATAGGGTACAAAGGGGTTTCGTGGTTGTGAAACAGATGGTGCGTAGCAAGCGTTCGCTGCGCTCTGGCTACGGACATACATGTACTAGGCATGCCAGAAAGCAGTAATTGGCCAGATGTTACAGCCCGGGCAGTTCAAACTCCTTCTGTGTCCTTCCTCTATAGTTTTTAGAAGGGTAATAAAGTTTTTGACACCCTTGCCTAGCTTTCGAACTGACGCCTTTGCAACATCATAGCCGGCTACGGGTTGCTTGGTTTGGACTTCGAATTTTTCCCACTAGCCCCATTAATTCATCCTCCATTCACTGACCTTTGCATCCCCACGTGAAATCCCATTTAGTTAGCCTTTGCCCATTTGCTACTTTGCCCGTTTGCAACTGCACCTGTTTCATTTTGCAGCTTCAACTGCACCACAGCCTTTTCAACAACGTAGCCAACCATTTCAAGGGGGTAACTTCCAAGAGGCAGGGTATTCTGTAATTTGTCCCAGTTTTTCACAACCATGAAGAAAAACTATTGGCTGCTAGCGAAATTATTAAAAAATCTTACAATAATATTAACTAGGGGGCGATCAAGCCCAACAAGATCAGGTAGGTCTAGGCCTATGTGAATCATGTACGTACACTGCCTTAGTCATTATAGTCATGTTTTTAACATTAAAACATAGTTTTCGGAACCAGCTGAACGGTTTTGGGAAGAGTTCCGTATAGACGCCAGGAATTCAAGTGACCTATTACTTTAAATATTAGCCATCAGGAAGCAAAAACATGTACAGAAGAGTTCAATTTAGGAGGGAACAAACCATGTCATTAAGTTCACTTCCTATTTTTTTCAAGTAACATAAAGAGATAGCAACATGAGCAATGGCACTTGGAACTTTTCAGACGTACCACAAAGTCTCATTCTTGGGTTTGTGCACAGGGTGTCAATCGGCGTCTGTATTGGAACTCTTTCTGTTTTCTTTATTTTTTTTAATAAGGATTTCTTTACCATCCTTCATCTATGTGGTGCATGTGTATCGCCGCACCTACAAAGATGACAAAGCTTTATCATGGAGGTAGAATCACCTCCATGGCTTTATTCACCAGCTGATCATGCATGTCATTCATGTGACCCAAGTCATATGACGAATCAAAACTAAACATAGGCCTACCTCCTTGATAGCCTTTCCAATGCCTTCTAAAATCCTATCCTTGAAATGTCCACGTCTAGAACTCATCGTGAAGGTCTAACTTTGCATTTTATTTTCTTTCACTACAAGGACACTTATAATATCGATAAACATGAACTAGGAAATCTGCAGAATACAGGGTCAACTTTGCCGGTGAAGTCTCCGAGAGGCGGCGTCCATTTTGAATGTTGCATGCTGGGTCACCTGTCCTGTGCCACGCCATATGCGCAGCGCCAGCGCTGACGTATATGTGTACTATACTGCAAAAAATTATTAAAGGTGAATCAGCTGGGTTGTCGGTTGCGGCCGCAACCTGCAGAATGAAAATTGGACGCTAGGCCCTACGAGTGTAAGGGGCATGATTTTGTTGGAGGGAAATAGTGAGTAGGTTCCATTATTTTTTCTAATGTTCTGGATATATATAAAAACAGAAATGAAGGTATGACTCTAAAACATAATGTATTGATACTCGTGTCAATATAAAAAACGTGCTCTGAGAAATGAAGACGGTGGCTGCTTATAGACCTAGAAAAAAGTTTTTTCTCCTCCAGGTTTATGGTGAAACGAAATGGGCTGAGGTAATAAATGTCCAGAAATCAATATGTCGTGTTACACAAATAGTGCGCGCAGGCCATTTTTTTGTTGTTTCTAAGTTCTAACTGAAGTGTGTTTCGCGGTAGGCCTTACTGTATGCTGCCAGGGCCTATTTTATAACTCTCAGTTCCCTGGTGTTCGAGTTTTATTTTATGCAGTGAAAGTTTCTTTGTGTTTCATACTGGGATTCGTACCCGTAACAGTTGCGATAAGGAGCGAATAATGAGCACGGTCCAGTATCTACTATTAGGCCTACGTCTACCAAAAATATCCGTCAGAACTACTCATTTTTTATATATCTTTTCCTAATGAAATTCTATGTAGATTATAATCCGATTAGGCCTATAGGTGCGTTGGTTGTGGTCAATTTTGATCAACTGTCCAGGCCTTAGGAGCCGACCCCATTATCGTTATGTATTTCTTTTTTAACTCGCTGTAGGCCTATCACAGTAAATTAAGTTGTACTTTTTGAATTAAGTCCGTTTTTATACTCAGTGCCGACAGGAAAACAATGCCGCTATTTTTTTCTTCACAACCATAATGTACAGGAAATCGAAAATGTTCCAACTTTTAAAACCATATGACAATTAATTACTTCACTCATATTCATAATTTCTGCTAGGTTTTCACTCATTCAATAGGCCTAATTCAATTCAATCATTAATTGATTTCCTGCTCTTTCAAGCAAATCACTGAAAGGTACATTTTCGATCGTTAATCCATGATTCTCTATGATACAGGTTTGCCTGCATTAGGCCTACCCTATTATGGCCCAAAGCGCAAAGCCTGCGGAACTCATGCGGAAATACATGTAATGGCATCTATGGGCAGTTTGCAAAGATGTTCTTCCGGGTTCCCGTAATAAATGATCAATTGTTCGTTGAGAAATGACAAAAGGGCCCCGACGTTGACTTTAAATATAACCAGGAAGTAACTGCTATTTCACAGACCAATCCTAAGCCACTGGCCAGTCTGTTCAAGTCTGAGTGCAAAGCTCAACCCACACTCCAAATGTAAAACAATTTCGATGTATGTGTTTCTCACATCTGTATGTACAGTATACACGCTATTTAAATCATTACTTAGCATTTTGAGGGACTTCGTAATGGGTACGTGTTAAGTATAATTCGCTTTTGGATTCTTTTCAATATTCAGTCACCCAAGCTACGAAACATGATTGCAATTTGTATCTAGTGATTTCGACCAAACTTCTCATGCTGACTCCAAATTCTTGTATAAGCTCCATTTATTCGGGAAACGTCTTTAAATGTAATAGGTTTCGATCGGATACTTTGAGTGATATTAATTGAGTCCCAGTGGAGATAGGCCTAAGTTCTTTTAGAATGTTCACTGCGTACAAAAAACGGTGTATTTCCAGACTTGTTTACCGGTTTAAAATAGCACAGAAATGTGACCTTTCCACGGTGAACTAAGCGTCAACAACGACCTCTTTGTCAATCGAGACTGTCACACATTCTGAACTGCATAAACGTAGCACCATGTAAAATGGTAAATTGCTCTGGGCACATGAACTTTTTATTGGGTAGGTTCAATCAGTGGTTTATGTTGAGTTGTACACCAGTTCACATGTGCTACTTCTTTCTGTGTCCGTCGTGGCTTTGAGGTTACAGCACTCTTAAATTGGACAAAACCGTTGTACAGCCTGTTAACCCGCCCCCCACACAAACATGATTGTATGAATGAGTTGATGTGCGTTTTGAGTTTAACCAGCGACCTCACGTTTCTCTTTAATGGAACCAAATGTTGATCGAGGGAACAGGAAAAGTTGCCAACTTAAACTTGACTGAATCAACAGAACTTGTTATTTGAGAGGTAAAAGGAGTCGATCGAGTAATTAACCTCCCCGACTTAACTCACATCAAAAGGCAACATCATCTATTTTGCATATGTTATACCTTAAAATACCAGGTGTGTGTGTAAAATGGTGATGTAAAGAAACTTTTCGCACTTTTGTATAATAACGGAGTTTCACGCGCTCGGAACCTGCAGTTTTTGTCTTGGTAGTTGAAGATATTTTAGTCAACTATAGTTTGCAAACGCCACTTCTCTTATTATTTTTGAAACAGTTTCTGCCCCTCATCGAAGTTTTCTGTTCGTGATGTTTGACACCATTTCTCCGCTGCATCGAAGATTTAGTGCAGAAGTGAACGTTGTACCTTTGTAACGTCGGGGTAGCTGCACGACAAAAATACCAACAAAATCAGGTGCAATGGAAGGAAACGAGGCAAAGAAATGGAAAGGAAAGGTGATGGAAATCACGGCTTTGCTTGAAAATACCTCAGAATCACTCCCCTACTACTGATGATTAGTTATTTACTGCGCATGCGCCGATCTGAGTGCTATGCCCTCCAGGAAAGACATCCTAGCGCCTGGGATAATGGATTTTCACAAGATAAGAAGAGATCGCTGTTTTTGGTGCCATGCTACATTTAAATGATTGACTAGAAGAATGTACGGACAAAGCCACATAATAATTAACAAGTTTGATGAAAATACAGTTAGAATCCTTTATGCCAAAATATTCTAGTCAGACATGTCTGCGGAGCATGGAATGAATTCGATCAGCAGCCATTCAGGTGATGTACGTTGTGGATTAACGAAACGGGTTTGTTGAGACGAATACTATGCAGTGTTGTAGTCGAGTACTTTCCGAGTACCAACGTTCTCCGCAAAATACTGAACTGGGTAAGAGGGAATAAAGCCAGAGTGCACAGGCATTTGATGGTAAATGTGCAAAGGTTAGATTACAAAATAAATGTTATAATTCAGACACTCCCAGTTGTGTAAAATTAAAGTTTTAAGGAGAAAAGTACTTGGAAAGTAATCGGCCGAGTACTTTCCGAGTGTTTTTGTCCTAACTAGTTAATTTTAATCAAACAGTGATGATCTGAAGTCATTATGTTGCTTTGGAATCTTACCTTTATGCATGAACCATCAAATGCCGATGTACGTCAGCTTTGTTCCCTCCTAACTAGTTAAATATTTGGTAGAGAACTTCATTCTCAAAAAGTACTCGACTACATCACTGCTATATAGCATCGAGAGCGAGGATTAAAAAATAGCATTTTTCTTAGAACGTGTCTTTTGTACTTAACCTTAGGGAATATGTGTTATTCTGCTGCCATTGATTTCCAGCGTGTATTTCATCGATTCAAGATAAGTAATAATAGATTTTGTACGTTAATTGCAGTGATGGGTAAAACTCTTTGAGAATATTGCCTCATGTTATTTATGGTAAAAAACTGATAATTGGAAAAGACAGCAGAAAAGGGAACTGAAATGGAAAAACAAAATAAAGAAATAAAAAACAGCCAGTTAAGAACTTTTTAAAATTCACTACTGTTAATCGCGATCAATACAGCGTCCCTTTATTAATCAACAGAGTCCAATATTCAGTGAAAGTATCCATTAAATATATTTTCAAGATTCAGGCGCTGATCTAGGGTGGCAAGGGGAGGCAGCCCCCCCCCCTTCACCAAATAAATAATGCCGAGTTAGTGATAACAACACCTGCGTTGCTTCATGTGCTTGTGTTGAGATAACCCAGGGTTTGGATTGGAAAGAAGAATTACTTCTACTAATTACTGTAGTTGAATTTGTTATGGTAAGAATCTGTATGGTCTATGTTGTCACGATCTGCATATGCTCTGCGGTACCACCTCTGTTGTATTCAAGTTTACGTGGTGGCCATTTTTCAATAAGTGAGCAAGAAACAGTTCCTAACATTGCAGTCAATGCCATGAAAACGAATGCACTTTTTCAGTACAACAAGAATTTTTAGGATATTCATGCATAGCTGTATATCTTCTCTCTCACATCACCAGAAGTGCATGGAGGGTTTACATGGCTGCCAAGGCTTTTGTTCCGTAGGGTATGCACAAAGGAGGTTTCCTCGTGGAACAAAACAACAGCCCTGCAAGATGGCTACCGCGCAAAGCCTCTATTATCCGATTATTGAGGTTGTTCTCTTTTTGCATCTGTCCTGCGTCGCCTTACTTGTTAGCTCTTAATAATGCTCTTGATTACTTACCTCCATTGACATGGTGTAGGGTTGCTTCTGAAATCTGAAAAGCATTGTAAGACATGCACAGACGAAGGGATAGCGTTTAATTGGATAACATTCTAATGAGCCGACGGTTGCATCAATGACCGTAAATTTTTTTGGTGGGGAATTAATTGGAAGGAGAATTTTTTTATAATGGACCTTTTCACCCACGTGACTGGATTGCGCTAAAAGTAAACATTACCACCACGTGTGGACCGCCTCGGCCACAGTGATCGCATATATTCCTACGGGCAGCTTCAACCACGTGCCATCGCTGCATGAATGACCGAGTTTATCTTGAATGGGTATATTACCATCACAACACAATAGCACAATGTACTCACTACCATCACAACACATCGTGGGTCTAGCACGATCGTGAAACTACAGGAAAAAGGTCTATAGGAAAGTTAAACCTGATATTTACCTTACCACTTAAGTTTCTAAGTGTCCACTAAATTGATAAAACTTGCAGTTAACCACGCCCATATATGATCATTGCCCTAACTCTCCTTGGAAAA